CTACTCTTCCTCACATGGTTCAGTGTGTATATTGTGTACATTGTGTATATAGTTGGCCTGTAGAGTGTGTCTTGAGGAAAGTGTCACATGAGGCTGAGTGAGTGATGTGGAGCTGCAGGCTGTAGTCGCAGGAAATGGAGAGAGACATGGACTGCACCTGCCACTGCCACACTGCCAGACAAGAAGTACATGTATACTGTACTGTATATGGTGGTCATAAAATATATACATACAGTATATATTTTGCATAGTTTCATTCTTGACCATGGGAATAGACTACTTTTGCATCAGTGTGTTATTGTGCATTCTTACTTTAATTCATCATAGCAAGTTCAAAACCCACATTTTTCTAAATAATAATTGTTTCTTTTAAATAAAATTTAAGCTTCAGAATTCAATTATGTATTCTGTCCTCATCCTTGTGATGTCCTTTTTTTGAAAACAAAAGGTGTCCAAACCTGTTTTGACTGGATTCGTGCTGTTCTAAGATTTATAATTGTCTTAACTGAAGTTGCCTGAATGACAACTATTTACATCTCACCAGCTGCATGTTAAATTCTTAAAGGTAATGACAGAAATAAACTAATATGAACTAACTAGAGATACAGGAAAAGTGACAAAGTTATGAAGGCTAAAAAGGTATATGGTAAATTACACCTCTAATATTAAAAGCCGTCAATTTGACTGCTCTGGGAGCCCTTGTGTTAAAAATATGACTTACAATTGAAAGTGAGACACAATTGTATTACTTGCCTGATGTGTCTGGTCTGGAGTCGCACATATTATATACACATAGTTAAAGGAGCAGTATGTAAAAATCTGGCCAATAGTGGTACTGCAGCCTTTCCCACTCTCCCTGACTCGGGTTGCCAGATAAGCAGACAAATCAGGCTGAATAGACAAGGCTTGTGTCAACAACAAATCTACGACCAACCCTTTTTTAACAAAGACCCCAATAGAGATCCTCGTTTTATTCCTTGTTTAGTCATTAATTATTTGAGAATCATAACAAGACCTTTTTTAGTTCTACGGCCACAAATGTCTTTACCAGAAAGATTAGCTAGGCACAGTGAGTTCTGGCAACCCTGATAACGGACTTTCTGATTGGTAAAATGGTGGAGGGCAGGACATCAAAATGAAAACAATAACAAGGAATCCAATTTTGAAATTAATATATCTCGGCTGAACTACTGTTATCAGTATTATTGGAAATGTGCATGGTTTATTAATGCCTTTTGACATATTAGGGCAATTCATCTCTGTGAGATAAATAAAGCAATCTTATCTTATTTAATTATGAATGTATATTAAAAGCTTACATATTGCCACTTGAATATTGACAATGTAATTCATAATTCCATAGTTCAACTTCCACATATTCCCGCCCAATACTTACTGTATTGTACTTATTGTGTATATGCCAAAAATTCTAGCTTCAGGTCGTACGTATTGCAGTAAAAATGTCACACAGCCTTTTCTTTCAAACAAAGGAAGACGATGAACCCGTTTCTTTTCTTGAGATGTTTTGGGTAAAGAATGAGGCCAGATGTATTAGCAATGCATGTGTAATAGTGTTCTGATAAACACCACAAAAGAATACTGGCTCTGAAACACGGCTCGACCTGAGAACAAACTAATTATTTCAAGTTGTGTTTTCTCCGGCTGCTTTACTCCGCACCGAGTTATTTCCAGATGGACCTTATCTAAAGATTTCTTGTCAGACGGCTAATACACTTCTGTTTCCATAGTGACTCCTATTCATCATCCGACTTACAGCGACGACAGAGAATAACCAGCACTACTCCAAATACTACCAAATTAAATGCACACAACAAAAGCCAAAGCCCTTTACAATATTGTTTCAGAAAATAAATATAATCCCTTTGACAGCTTACGACTTTTTGCACGCTTCCATTTCTTGACATGTTGTTTGATCCTCTGAGCTTTCACTTGCACCTCTGTAGAAAATAATAATCTTATTTGTGTTAAAACAAATTCTAGAAGGGTATAATTTGTTGGTGTCCAATTTGGAATTATTGTTTAATGATATGGGTGAAATGATCTCCATTTTTTTTAAATAAATGTATATGTACATGGGGAGGCTGTCTTTGTGGTATTTTGACTTCAGTTCTCTGTGGTTTGGTTTTAATTTTACTTCCTGTCATGTTGCCCTGACAATTATCTGCCCCGCCCTAATGTGTTTTACCTGTGTCTATATGTACCTGTGCTCCTCTTTTATTGCTGGTCCCTTATCTTTGCTTGTCTTTGTCTGTCTATGTTCCTGAGTCAATTCTGGGATTTTGGATTTGTTTTTACCCTGGACTTTTACTATATTATCTTCATTAAATCATTATTTTTTGCATTCGCGCTTTTTGGGTCCGGCTTCATCTCATCACACGACAGAGGCAGCCTACACGTTTTTATTCCCACTCCGATTTGTAAATATATTGGCAAATGGGGCTTGCTGTTAAATATTTCTTATGTATATATTTATATGCATCATATGTGATGAATGGAACTTTTTCTGAACCATTTAAGATAAGATAAGATAGACTTTATTGATCTCACACTGGAGAATGTACATGTCACATTTGGCATGGATCGAATCACTCAGATTGTGCAAAAAGAAAAATGTGCAACATGTTAAATGCAGGATATACTGTATTATGTGAAATAAAAACTAGTGATTGGTTGATATTAAACCAGAAATGTCATGATTTTACCTTTTACAAAAGCAAAGCTGTTCTGTTACTTGTACAGTGCTCTGTTTGACCTTGGTTTATGAAATGTGTTATATAAATAAATATGAATTACTTGCAGGATAATAGTTAAAAAACATAATTCGACACAATATAAGTTCAGAGAATCTTTTGGAGCCAGACGCTCTTCCCACTGATCCTAAACTACAAACAGACTCAAACGTCTTCATCAGACATCAGAAAATGTGACGGAAATCGGACCAATGTTTTTCACATGTTTAATGAATTGTGCATTTACAATTCATTAAAGATGATTTTTTTCCGTCTGGGGATGTGAACGTCACTTTATGGGCACCCTTTATTCATCGGCTATGCTTTGAGCTGGGGATCAGCACGAATTCTTTGCCTGCTCGTAGTTTCTGTAGTGTAGTGGTCATCACGTTCGCCTTACACGCGAAAGGTCCTCGGTTCGAAACCGAGCAGAAACAGTGAGTGTATCTGACTGTGTTTCGAAAGCTTCATCAGTGTTGTTCCGAGCGCAGTTCCTGAATTGCGCACCTCAAGACTGGAGCTTGCATTTCTGGTGATGCAGGGATTACATTTACAGGCGCACTTTATTCTTGGGCTATACTTTGAGCTGCAGAAAAGCACAAATTCTTTGCCCGTCTATGGTTTCTGTAGTGTAGTGGTCATCACGTTCGCCTCACACGCGAAAGGTCCTCGGTTCGAAACCGAGCAGAAACACTGGCTTTTCCCTGTCCGACCATCATAAACCCGCTTTAATGCTAAAGACTACTCTGCGCTTTAGTGCTAAATACTTCAGTCTTGTGCTGCGCCTCATACTTGTGATAGTGAGAAAGTGTAGCTTGCTCTTATCCTTAGTCAAAGATAGATCGATCGATCGAGCGAGCGAACGAACAATAAAATGATTGGGAGTTTTATGGGACAGCCCGAGCCGCTTAATGCTTTTTCAGCAAGCCCGAGTGCTTTATTGCTTCAGCACGGCGTTACAGGGTTGTGCATGACACTCATGAGCACCCTTCATGCTTGAGCTAAGCTTTGAGCCGAGGACCAACAAAAATCCTCCACTTTTCGTCTTGATCAGTGCTGATTGCTAGTCATCTGCTCCTCGTTAGTATAGTGGACAGTATCTCCGCCTGTCACGCGGAAGACCGGGGTTCGATTCCCCGACGGGGAGTACCTCTTTGGCGGCTCGTCCTTCCTGAGGACAACGAGTCATTCGGATGAGGCTTGGGAAAGAGCGTTGCCTATTCTCCTCGAACCCGGACAGGCTGGTGTTATGCATACCTCCTATGCGGGGTCTAGTGGTCAAGAAGAGCGGTCGACCAGCACTGATTCTTCCTTCGCATGTCGTTTCTGTAGTGTAGTGGTCCTCGGTTCGAAACCGAGCAGAAACATTTAGTGTATCTGATGGCAAAACCATGGTTCGAAGGCTTCAGTGTTATTGCGCAACTCAAGACTGGAGCTTGCAGTTCCGTCAAGCTCCAGTGCTTTAAAGCGTCCGTCTGGGGATGTGAACGTCACTTTATGGGCACCCTTTATTCATCGGCTATGCTTTGAGCTGGGGATCAGCACGAATTCTTTGCCTGCTCGTAGTTTCTGTAGTGTAGTGGTCATCACGTTCGCCTTACACGCGAAAGGTCCTCGGTTCGAAACCGAGCAGAAACACTGAGTGTATCTGACTGTGTTTCGAAAGCTTCAGTGTTGTTCCGAGCGCAGTTCCTGAATTGCGCACCTCAAGACTGGAGCTTGCATTTCTGGTGATGCAGGGATTACATTTACAGGCGCACTTTATTCTTGGGCTATACTTTGAGCTGCAGAAAAGCACAAATTCTTTGCCCGTCTATGGTTTCTGTAGTGTAGTGGTCATCACGTTCGCCTCACACGCGAAAGGTCCTCGGTTCGAAACCGAGCAGAAAAACACTGGCTTTTCCCTGTCCGACCATCATAAACCCGCTTTAATGCTAAAGACTACTCTGCGCTTTAGTGCTAAATACTTCAGTCTTGTGCTGCGCCTCATACTTGTGATAGTGAGAAAGTGTAGCTTGCTCTTATCCTTAGTCAAAGATAGATCGATCGATCGAGCGAGCGAGCGAACAATAAAATGATTGGGAGTTTTATGGGACAGCCCGAGCCGCTTAATGCTTTTTCAGCAAGCCCGAGTGCTTTATTGCTTCAGCACGGCGTTACAGGGTTGTGCATGACACTCATGAGCACCCTTCATGCTTGAGCTAAGCTTTGAGCCGAGGACCAACAAAAATCCTCCACTTTTCGTCTTGATCAGTGCTGATTGCTAGTCATCTGCTCCTCGTTAGTATAGTGGACAGTATCTCCGCCTGTCACCGGGAGACCGGGGTTCGATTCCCCGACGGGGAGTACCTCTTTGGCGGCTCGTCGGTCCTGAGGACAACGAGTCATTCGGATGAGGCTTGGGAAAGAGCGTTGCCTATTCTCCTCGAACCCGGACAGGCTGGTGTTATGCATACCTCCTATGCGGGGTCTAGTGGGTCAAGAAGAGCGGCGACCAGCACTGATTCTTCCTTCGCATGTCGTTTCTGTAGTGTAGTGGTCAGTGTGTCCTCGGTTCGAAACCGAGCAGAAACATTGAGTGTATCTGATGGCAAAACCATGGTTCGAAGGCTTCAGTGTTATTGCGCAACTCAAGACTGGAGCTTGCAGTTCGTCAAGCTCCAGTGCTTTAAAGCGTCCGTCTGGGGATGTGAACGTCACTTTATGGGCACCCTTTATTCATCGGCTATGCTTTGAGCTGGGGATCAGCACGAATTCTTTGCCTGCTCGTAGTTTCTGTAGTGTAGTGGTCATCACGTTCGCCTTACACGCGAAAGGTCCTCGGTTCGAAACCGAGCAGAAACAGTGAGTGTATCTGACTGTGTTTCGAAAGCTTCAGTGTTGTTCCGAGCGCAGTTCCTGAATTGCGCACCTCAAGACTGGAGCTTGCATTTCTGGTGATGCAGGGATTACATTTACAGGCGCACTTTATTCTTGGGCTATACTTTGAGCTGCAGAAAAGCACAAATTCTTTGCCCGTCTATGGTTTCTGTAGTGTAGTGGTCATCACGTTCGCCTCACACGCGAAAGGTCCTCGGTTCGAAACCGAGCAGAAACACTGGCTTTTCCCTGTCCGACCATCATAAACCCGCTTTAATGCTAAAGACTACTCTGCGCTTTAGTGCTAAATACTTCAGTCTTGTGCTGCGCCTCATACTTGTGATAGTGAGAAAGTGTAGCTTGCTCTTATCCTTAGTCAAAGATAGATCGATCGATCGAGCGAGCGAACGAACAATAAAATGATTGGGAGTTTTATGGGACAGCCCGAGCCGCTTAATGCTTTTTCAGCAAGCCCGAGTGCTTTATTGCTTCAGCACGGCGTTACAGGGTTGTGCATGACACTCATGAGCACCCTTCATGCTTGAGCTAAGCTTTGAGCCGAGGACCAACAAAAATCCTCCACTTTTCGTCTTGATCAGTGCTGATTGTCAGTCATCTGCTCCTCGTTAGTATAGTGGACAGTATCTCCGCCTGTCACGCGGAAGACCGGGGTTCGATTCCCCGACGGGGAGTACCTCTTTGGCGGCTCGTCGGTCCTGAGGACAACGAGTCATTCGGATGAGGCTTGGGAAAGAGCGTTGCCTATTCTCCTCGAACCCGGACAGGCTGGTGTTATGCATACCTCCTATGCGGGGTCTAGTGGTCAAGAAGAGCGGTCGACCAGCACTGATTCTTCCTTCGCATGTCGTTTCTGTAGTGTAGTGGTCCTCGGTTCGAAACCGAGCAGAAACATTTAGTGTATCTGATGGCAAAACCATGGTTCGAAGGCTTCAGTGTTATTGCGCAACTCAAGACTGGAGCTTGCAGTTCCGTCAAGCTCCAGTGCTTTAAAGCGTCCGTCTGGGGATGTGAACGTCACTTTATGGGCACCCTTTATTCATCGGCTATGCTTTGAGCTGGGGATCAGCACGAATTCTTTGCCTGCTCGTAGTTTCTGTAGTGTAGTGGTCATCACGTTCGCCTTACACGCGAAAGGTCCTCGGTTCGAAACCGAGCAGAAACACATGTGTATCTGACTGTGTTTCGAAAGCTTCAGTGTTGTTCCGAGCGCAGTTCCTGAATTGCGCACCTCAAGACTGGAGCTTGCATTTCTGGTGATGCAGGGATTACATTTACAGGGCACTTATTCTGGCTATACTTTGAGCTGCAGAAAAGCACAAATTCTTTGCCCGTCTATGGTTTCTGTAGTGTAGTGGTCATCACGTTCGCCTCACACGCGAAAGGTCCTCGGTTCGAAACCGAGCAGAAACACTGGCTTTTCCCTGTCCGACCATCATAAACCCGCTTTAATGCTAAAGACTACTCTGCGCTTTAGTGCTAAATACTTCAGTCTTGTGCTGCGCCTCATACTTGTGATAGTGAGAAAGTGTAGCTTGCTCTTATCCTTAGTCAAAGATAGATCGATCGATCGAGCGAGCGAACGAACAATAAAATGATTGGGAGTTTTATGGGACAGCCCGAGCCGCTTAATGCTTTTTCAGCAAGCCCGAGTGCTTTATTGCTTCAGCACGGCGTTACAGGGTTGTGCATGACACTCATGAGCACCCTTCATGCTTGAGCTAAGCTTTGAGCCGAGGACCAACAAAAATCCTCCACTTTTCGTCTTGATCAGTGCTGATTGCTAGTCATCTGCTCCTCGTTAGTATAGTGGACAGTATCTCCGCCTGTCACGCGGAAGACCGGGGTTCGATTCCCCGACGGGGAGTACCTCTTTGGCGGCTCGTCCTTCCTGAGGACAACGAGTCATTCGGATGAGGCTTGGGAAAGAGCGTTGCCTATTCTCCTCGAACCCGGACAGGCTGGTGTTATGCATACCTCCTATGCGGGGTCTAGTGGTCAAGAAGAGCGGCGACCAGCACTGATTCTTCCTTCGCATGTCGTTTCTGTAGTGTAGTGGTCATCACTCGCTAACACGCGAAAGTCCTCGGTTCGAAACCGAGCAGAAACATTGAGTGTATCTGATGGCAAAACCATGGTTCGAAGGCTTCAGTGTTATTGCGAACTCAGACTGGAGCTTGCAGTTCCGTCAAGCTCCAGTGCTTTAAAGCGTCCGTCTGGGGATGTGAACGTCACTTTATGGGCACCCTTTATTCATCGGCTATGCTTTGAGCTGGGGATCAGCACGAATTCTTTGCCTGCTCGTAGTTTCTGTAGTGTAGTGGTCATCACGTTCGCCTTACACGCGAAAGGTCCTCGGTTCGAAACCGAGCAGAAACAGTGAGTGTATCTGACTGTGTTTCGAAAGCTTCAGTGTTGTTCCGAGCGCAGTTCCTGAATTGCGCACCTCAAGACTGGAGCTTGCATTTCTGGTGATGCAGGGATTACATTTACAGGCGCACTTTATTCTTGGCTATACTTTGAGCTGCAGAAAAGCACAAATTCTTTGCCCGTCTATGGTTTCTGTAGTGTAGTGGTCATCACGTTCGCCTCACACGCGAAAGGTCCTCGGTTCGAAACCGAGCAGAAACACTGGCTTTTCCCTGTCCGACCATCATAAACCCGCTTTAATGCTAAAGACTACTCTGCGCTTTAGTGCTAAATACTTCAGTCTTGTGCTGCGCCTCATACTTGTGATAGTGAGAAAGTGTAGCTTGCTCTTATCCTTAGTCAAAGATAGATCGATCGATCGAGCGAGCGAACGAACAATAAAATGATTGGGAGTTTTATGGGACAGCCCGAGCCGCTTAATGCTTTTTCAGCAAGCCCGAGTGCTTTATTGCTTCAGCACGGCGTTACAGGGTTGTGCATGACACTCATGAGCACCCTTCATGCTTGAGCTAAGCTTTGAGCCGAGGACCAACAAAAATCCTCCACTTTTCGTCTTGATCAGTGCTGATTGCTAGTCATCTGCTCCTCGTTAGTATAGTGGACAGTATCTCCGCCTGTCACGCGGAAGACCGGGGTTCGATTCCCCGACGGGGAGTACCTCTTTGGCGGCTCGTCGGTCCTGAGGACAACGAGTCATTCGGATGAGGCTTGGGAAAGAGCGTTGCCTATTCTCCTCGAACCCGGACAGGCTGGTGTTATGCATACCTCCTATGCGGGGTCTAGTGGTCAAGAAGAGCGGTCGACCAGCACTGATTCTTCCTTCGCATGTCGTTTCTGTAGTGTAGTGGTCATCACGTTCGCCTAACACGCGAAAGGTCCTCGGTTCGAAACCGAGCAGAAACATTGAGTGTATCTGATGGCAAAACCATGGTTCGAAGGCTTCAGTGTTATTGCGCAACTCAAGACTGGAGCTTGCAGTTCCGTCAAGCTCCAGTGCTTTAAAGCGTCCGTCTGGGGATGTGAACGTCACTTTATGGGCACCCTTTATTCATCGGCTATGCTTTGAGCTGGGGATCAGCACGAATTCTTTGCCTGCTCGTAGTTTCTGTAGTGTAGTGGTCATCACGTTCGCCTTACACGCGAAAGGTCCTCGGTTCGAAACCGAGCAGAAACACTGAGTGTATCTGACTGATGTTTCGAAAGCTTCAGTGTTGTTCCGAGCGCAGTTCCTGAATTGCGCACCTCAAGACTGGAGCTTGCATTTCTGGTGATGCAGGGATTTCATTTACAGGCGCACTTTATTCTTGGGCTATACTTTGAGCTGCAGAAAAGCACAAATTCTTTGCCCGTCTATGGTTTCTGTAGTGTAGTGGTCATCACGTTCGCCTCACACGCGAAAGGTCCTCGGTTCGAAACCGAGCAGAAACACACTGGCTTTTCCCTGTCCGACCATCATAAACCCGCTTTAATGCTAAAGACTACTCTGCGCTTTAGTGCTAAATACTTCAGTCTTGTGCTGCGCCTCATACTTGTGATAGTGAGAAAGTGTAGCTTGCTCTTATCCTTAGTCAAAGATAGATCGATCGATCGAGCGAGCGAACGAACAATAAAAATGATTGGGAGTTTTATGGGACAGCCCGAGCCGCTTAATGCTTTTTCAGCAAGCCCGAGTGCTTTATTGCTTCAGCACGGCGTTACAGGGTTGTGCATGACACTCATGAGCACCCTTCATGCTTGAGCTAAGCTTTGAGCCGAGGACCAACAAAAATCCTCCACTTTTCGTCTTGATCAGTGCTGATTGCTAGTCATCTGCTCCTCGTTAGTATAGTGGACAGTATCTCCGCCTGTCACAGCGGGAGACCGGGGTTCGATTCCCCGACGGGGCGTACCTCTTTGGCGGCTCGTCCTTCCTGAGGACAACGAGTCATTCGGATGAGGCTTGGGAAAGAGCGTTGCCTATTCTCCTCGAACCCGGACAGGCTGGTGTTATGCATACCTCCTATGCGGGGTCTAGTGGTCAAGAAGAGCGGCCGACCAGCACTGATTCTTCCTTCGCATGTCGTTTCTGTAGTGTAGTGGTCATCACGTTCGCCTAACACGCGAAAGGTCCTCGGTTCGAAACCGAGCAGAAACATTGAGTGTATCTGATGGCAAAACCATGGTTCGAAGGCTTCAGTGTTATTGCGCAACTCAAGACTGGAGCTTGCAGTTCCGTCAAGCTCCAGTGCTTTAAAGCGTCCGTCTGGGGATGTGAACGTCACTTTATGGGCACCCTTTATTCATCGGCTATGCTTTGAGCTGGGGATCAGCACGAATTCTTTGCCTGCTCGTAGTTTCTGTAGTGTAGTGGTCATCACGTTCGCCTTACACGCGAAAGGTCCTCGGTTCGAAACCGAGCAGAAACATGAGTGTATCTGACTGTGTTTCGAAAGCTTCAGTGTTGTTCCGAGCGCAGTTCCTGAATTGCGCACCTCAAGACTGGAGCTTGCATTTCTGGTGATGCAGGGATTACATTTACAGGCGCACTTTATTCTTGGGCTATACTTTGAGCTGCAGAAAAGCACAAATTCTTTGCCCGTCTATGGTTTCTGTAGTGTAGTGGTCATCACGTTCGCCTCACACGCGAAAGGTCCTCGGTTCGAAACCGAGCAGAAACACTGGCTTTTCCCTGTCCGACCATCATAAACCCGCTTTAATGCTAAAGACTACTCTGCGCTTTAGTGCTAAATACTTCAGTCTTGTGCTGCGCCTCATACTTGTGATAGTGAGAAAGTGTAGCTTGCTCTTATCCTTAGTCAAAGATAGATCGATCGATCGAGCGAGCGAACGAACGAATAAAATGATTGGGAGTTTTATGGGACAGCCCGAGCCGCTTAATGCTTTTTCAGCAAGCCCGAGTGCTTTATTGCTTCAGCACGGCGTTACAGGGTTGTGCATGACACTCATGAGCACCCTTCATGCTTGAGCTAAGCTTTGAGCCGAGGACCAACAAAAATCCTCCACTTTTCGTCTTGATCAGTGCTGATTGCTAGTCATCTGCTCCTCGTTAGTATAGTGGACAGTATCTCCGCCTGTCACGCGGAAGACCGGGGTTCGATTCCCCGACGGGGAGTACCTCTTTGGCGGCTCGTCGGTCCTGAGGACAACGAGTCATTCGGATGAGGCTTGGGAAAGAGCGTTGCCTATTCTCCTCGAACCCGGACAGGCTGGTGTTATGCATACCTCCTATGCGGGGTCTAGTGGTCAAGAAGAGCGGCCGACCAGCACTGATTCTTCCTTCGCATGTCGTTTCTGTAGTGTAGTGGTCATCACGTTCGCCTAACACGCGAAAGGTCCTCGGTTCGAAACCGAG